GACAGAAATACCCTAATCCAGGTTCACTAAAACACTCTTAGACACCCTTCCAGTGCCGGCTCACATCCACCCTTTCTCCCCAAACATCCCTGCTCGAGGCTTTCTGGATAGCGCAGCACACACCCAGCGTGTTCCTGTACTCATCCACCCGTTGCATCCACAGACATTGAGTATGCACCTGCTGTGTGCACCACCCTGTGGGGAGCACAGAAGGAGGTTGCTGTCTAGCTGGGGAAGCATGCGGAGCTGAGAACAGACCAGAAACAACCCGAGAATCATCTCAAAGCAGGGAGGGAGAGATCGGAACCTGAGTGGAATTTAGAAGGTCAGGCTCTAGTCCCCACACTCTCTTCACTGATTCTGGACATGAACCCTAGTCTCATCTTCAAAATGGGACTTATAATACCGTGTCTATTGGAGGCAGGGGCACGGACAAGATGACCTCTTGAGGACCCCATGGTTTTTTAGGTTGGATGGTGTGGTCCTATGTTGCTTAACAAAGGAAATGAACTCTGGGGTCAGGGAAGGCCGCCTGGAGGAAGCTTTGCTGGAGGTGAGAGGCAGTGTGGTACAATGGTTAGGGTCCTTGAGCCAGCTGCCCACCGGAAATTCCAGTTCACTGACCTACAGTGTGTCACTGAGCAAGTGACTTAACCTCTCAGGGCCATGGTTCACTCATCTGTAAAAAGGAATAATAATAAAAACCCCATTTATCATAGGGTTTGGGAGAGGTTGGAATGAGTCGGCTGATTGACGCCATGCTTTATGAATGTTAATTTTGTTTCGATCACTCCCCTAAATCCAACTCCCACCAGGCCTCTGAGTCTTGGCCCCCCACCCCCCACCAACCGCTCCACGCCCAGCATCCCTGCTCCTACCTCTTCTAGTCAGGGAGTGCACACCAGGCCCCCCCACACCCACCCTCCCCCCACAGGATTCCTCTGCCTGGAACTTTCTTCTCCTCCCACCCCCAGCATTGGGCCTGGCTGGCTCCTTCTCCTTCCAGCTCCAGCTCACATGCCTCCTCTTCAGGGAGGCCTTCCTTGATGACCCTTTCTAAAGTAGACCCCAGCCTCGGTCACACTGCCGTACCCCTGCTCGCTGGCTTTCTCACCTCCCCCAGGCCAGTGTCAGCTCCATGAGAGCAGGGGCCGCCCTGTCTTATGCATCTGTGTGGTTCCAGAGCCCAGAACAGGGCTGGGGTGCAGTAGGCGCTTGACTTATGTTTTGTTGGAGGAATGAATGAATGAGGAGTTGATCCAGCTTGAACTCTGGAGGAAAAGGAGATGCCATGAAGAAGGTCTCACTGCCCGGGCCACCTTCCCGGGTTCCCACAGGGCCTTGGTCAGTGCAGAGATGGGACCCTGAAGGGCTGGCTGGGCCCTGGGCGTGGGGAGTAAGGGGGCCAGTGCAGGGGGGCTGGTAATGCGCATCTCGAAGAAAGCCCCCTCCGCAAACCTGAAGGCCTGGACTGGGCAAGGGCAGCGTGTGGAACCCGGGCCAGGACACTGACCAGCGGGGTTGGCAGCCCCTCCCACCGGAGCCGGCAGCCATCTGGCCTGGACAGAGGGGCCTCCGCAGGTCCTGGCTCACCCCCAGCCCGGGCGGCCTCCCCACCGCTGACCTGCGTCACTGGGCCTGCCAGGGGTGGGCTCCGCCCCTCCACCAGGCCTGAGCGGGGAGTATTCTCGGCCCCCTCACCCCGAATGGGGGACAAAGGACATCCTATCTCCTGGGAATTTGTAGTCAGAGTGGCTCCCTGGGGCAGGAACTATGCCTGCCTTGCAGCAGAGGACTCTCAAGGAGAGAGAAGCCCCTCCCCCCCAACCAGGGAAGGGTGAGTCCGACTCTGTCCTCCCCGCTCCACCCAGCAGAGGCAAACATTCAGAGAGCATGCTATCTGTAAAATGGGGAGAATAATACTCTCTACCTTACCCCTACCAAACGGTAAGGGGCTGAGCCTGGGCTCCAGGAACCTCGCAGGGCTTCTGCTGTTGTTCTCTGGCGGCCCAGGGTCCCCCCCACCACCACTCCTGCCCTGACCCCAGAGCCAGTGTCCCTTTTCATCTGTGGGTTCTACCTCACTTTGCCAGCTCTTTTCCCAGGGACTGGGTTGAACCCAGGTCCTGGACCGAGCTGCCACCTGTCAGACGTGCCCAGAGCCGGCAGCCTCCGCCTGCATGCCAGAGGGACACAGGATACTGCACGTGTGCGTACATGTATGAACATGCGTGTGGGCGTGTGCACACATCCAGACAGGGCCCTCGGGTACACGTTCATACACACGAGCGTGTACCCCCATGCTCTGCACACACGTGTGTGCAGACTCATGCCCGAGCACATGTCCCTGTACTGGCCACTGGCACATCCCTGTGCACACCTTCCATGCGTGCACACATGCACACGCATGTACACCTGGGCTTTGACTTGTTGCTGCTGTTCCCTTCAGACTCAGCTCTGTCCCACCAGGCCTGCCCTGGGCCCGAGGGCGTGGGGGTGCTGATGCCTGGACCTCCCACCCCACAGGACAGGGCGGCCCTTTCCAATGGGGCAGACACTGAGATGCAATGCTCAGACCTCCCTTCGAGGAGGGCATTTGGTCCACAGCCCTCTCTGGGGTCCCCTCAGCTAACCAGCCCAGGTCGCTTTTCAGGAAGGTGGGGGACATGGAGGGCCAGCTAATGACGGAGCAAGATGACGGAGCCAGGGCCCGAGCATCTCCACCCAACACGGGGATCCTCAAATCCCAGCAGTCTTTGCCCCTGAGCCCCGCTGCACTAGCCCAGAAGGTGGCAGGCCTGCATCCCAGCCTGAGGGCCCCCCCCCACCCCGCCACCTGCTTCCTCCACTGCCTTTGCATTCCTGACTCCATCTTAGCATCTGCTTCCCGGGGAGCTTGACCAGTGACAGGTGAAGCCTAAGACGGGGCCAGGGCAGAAACAAGCTTCCTGAGGCCACATGCAGGGCTCCAGGTGGCCAAGCCCTGGCTCTGGGGCTGTGCTTTGCTCGGGCTACCCAGCATTTCTCTGTGTAGCCTCATTTAATCCCAGCAAGAACCCCTTAAGGTGAATAGTTGCAGCTGTGGGTTTTTTTGAGTTAATAAAGAGTTTGATGCTGGAGCTTCTGGATTCCCTGGAGAGTGAGAACCAGCAAGGACCCATGAGATGCTGTAATACACAGCTGAGGAAAGGAAAGCCCAAAGAGGATCAGGACCTACAGAAGGTCACACAGCAATGGGATAGCAGAAATAGAACACAACTCTGGTCTTCCGCCTCCCAGCGCAACAGTTGGGACGAGCTCCATGCCTCAACCCCCTCCCCTCCACACATCCTGGTCTGCAAAGCAGGCCTCTTCCAGGAAAGCTCTGGGTCTACTCAGTCCTTTACCCTGTACCCCCCCAGCAGGTACAGCCCTCCATTCTTACTGAGGAGTAGTTGTGTGTGTTGCTTGATAAGGAAGGTTCGTGATTCAGTGTTAAGCATCTCTTCAGCTAGTGCAGGGGGACGCAGCTGGACCCTGAGACCTCAGAGCTCAGCATTGCTATTCACTTGCCCTGTGACACCAAGCAACCAAGACTATCCCTCTGTGCCTCCATATCCTCGTCTGTAAAATGATCTGCTAAGACTTACCTTGTAGGTTTGTTGTCAGGATTAAATGAGGTGAGGTATGTGTATCAACAGCTAACATTGGGCAAGCACAAGCAACAGGCTACATATATACGTTATCTCATCACATGACACCCAGGGTTTAGAGCGAGAGCTTCCTGGACAGCACTTGGCATACGCCCAAATGCCATCTGTCCCAAATCAGCTTACAGTTCCTCAGGATTGAGCTCCCAGAGGTGGGCTCATCCTCTTCCTGTGGTCCCCCCCATCCATGCCCAGTGGGATGTGGTGGATGAGTGGGCGAACAGGGACATCACCAGCGAGCCAGGAAGAGGGGTTCCTCTGCAGTTGGATGGACACAGGAAAGGTCCTGTGCCTTTTTCCCTGCAACCCTGAATTTTGAGCGCTTTTGTGCTGCCACCTGCTGGTCAGTAAGAGAAGAGCAGGTGGGCTCACACCTTAAGGGCCAGGGAGGGGCATTCCATTAGGGAACGTTGGAATCATCACAATTAGGGATAATATTCAAAAAATATATAATAACCTACTCATCAGCAGAGTTCTGAAGCCCCAGCTGGCTCAGGGTTAACCCTTTAGAAGTTTGTGGTGAGAAGGTGGAGGTTCTGAGAGTATTTTGATATTTTATGAAATGAAATAGTCCCGACACAGCGTCACTGAATGTCCTTAATGTTTGAAGATGGTTCCTGCTCTGACGCTTATCCCATTTCATAGAATCAGGCCACCATGAAGAAGTGTTTGTGGCCGCCAGCACTTGGACCATCGCTGGGAGGTCTCCCACCCTAGTCCTTGCTCTTGGAGGCCCACAGACACCCCTCCCACAGACACCTCAGTGATTATTCATTATGTTTGGGAACAAATTCCTGCCCACCACTGGTTCACTTTCCAAATGCTTGGTTTTACCTTTAGGAGTCACATTCCCCAGGACTTACCCTTTGGCCTCTAGGACTCTCCTCTAGAGCGCTCCACAAGGCATGGAAGTCTGAGTCCAGGTCTCAAACCTCCCTCCTGAGCCCCCCGGGATCGTGGACACGGTCTCAGAGAGACCCCAGGAAGCGAGGCTGGAAAGGGAAACTAAGGTTGCTGCTGGGAGACCCTTGTGCTGCTAGAACACTGAGGCGTTGTTCTGAGAAATGCCTTTCTTAGCTTCCCCCAGCTTCTTAAGGACTTGAATGCTAGAGAAGACGGGTGGAGAGAGCGGAGTGTGGGATATGAGTGAGAGTGTTGCCTCCAGACACCTTCCAGAACTCTCCAGAACTGAAGACTAAGAGGGAAAGCAGCCTGCCCGAGGTCACACAGCAAGCCAGTTACAAAGCCAAGACAACTAGGAATCTGGAAACTAACCCAAGAATCCTTCATAAACAGGAGACCCTTTCTGGAATGCTTGCCTTTTAGAGATTGCTTCCTGAGGTCCACTTCCCCCACATACTTGGTCTTCTTAAAGCAGGAGGCGCCTGGGTCCAGAGAGAAAAGAACTCCTCTAGGCAAAATCCCAGAGGGATTTATTTGCCCCCCCCCTCCCCGTAACCCAGCCAGGGCAAAGCCTCACTGGTGCCTGCAGTTCTGACCCAGGCAGGGAAATGAACTGGGGCAGGAGGGGCAGCCCTCCTGAGAATCCTTGCCCAGCTCAGGGTGTCCTCCAGGCCATCCATCCATTTACATGAGAGTCTAAGCCAAGGGCGGGGCTGATCTCCACCTGCCTTGCTTAATCCTTAAAACTGACTGTGGTCAATTAGATACCCATATTCTAATCCCTGGAACCTGTGAATGTTCTTCTATACGAAGGGGAAAGAAAGGACTCGGCAAATGTGATTAAGCTACAGATCCAAAGATGGGAAGATTATCCTGTATTATACGAGCAGGCCCTAAATGTAATCACAGGAGTCCTTATAAGAGGGAAGCAGAGAAGCGTTACGCAAGCAGAAGTGGATCAGGCAGTGGGATGGTAGAGGCAGAGGACGCAACGATGTAGCCACAAGCCAAGGAACACCAACAGCCACCAGCAGCTGGAAAGAAGCACAGAACGAATTCCCCTCTGGAGCCTCCAGAAGGAGCGCTGGCCTGTTGACCCCTTGACTTCCGCTGGGTGATGACTGGCTTCAGAACTGTGATAGAATAAATATCTGGTGTTTAAGCCACCAACTTTGTGGTTAATTTGTTATAGCAGGCATGGGGAATTCAATTCCAGGTCAACAAACACCCATATCACAGCTCTTATGCTCCCAGCACTGGGCTTGAGAATGACACATTTTGCAGAACAGATGAGACAAAGGACGAGCAAAACAGCAAAACCCTAGTCTGTGTATTTTCTTTCCGAAAGGGACAGCCAGGCACAGGGGAGTCAGGGAAGGAGAGGCAGGAATCGGGGTGTCGGTTACAATGGCAGTGAGTGTATTCTCACTTCAGGCTCCAGGGACTTGTTTTTACCGTTATATTATTTTACTTTGGAGAAAAAAGTAGGAAGGACAAAAAAGTAGGGGGAAACACACAATTTGGTATATTTCCGTCCAGTCATTTTCTTTTCCTTTCATAGGTTTGTGTGTGTTTCATTTACATATTGGTATTTTGCTATAAATGTTCTATATAACCTTTGAACCTATTCTTGGAGTGGGCTATGTAATATTCTAGAGCAGATAAAACTATATAGATTTTACATTCTTTTACAGATGTTTGGTCTGTTTCTTACAGCACCATGAAGAATGTATTTGGCTGTAAATTACTTTATCTATTTTAGAAGATGTCTATAAGGCAGATCTAGTCATTTTACTCCTGGGAAACAAGGGATACGAAAATCTTTGAAGATTGTAATTCATTTTGCTGAATTACTTTCCAAATCATGTTTGTGACAATTCATCTTCTGTGCATGCCGCAAACTATGGAAGTGACCATTTTACCACATCTTTGCTAATTTGACATCATGATAAACAGCATTTCTTTAAATTTGCCTATTTCTGATTAATTGTGAGGTTAGATCTTTATTTCCCTATTCCAGTTTATTGACGGAATACTCTCCATTCCAGGGCTTAGCACAAAGTCCACCAGTTACCACTTCCAATTGATTCTGCACTGGGAAAATCTCTGGGATCCATTTTTCTCATTCCTACTTTTATAGACTTAATTTGAAGATGTTGTGTCTCACGTGGACCATTAGGATCTTTGTTACAGAAAAGAGCACAATTGTTCTTGGTCATGTCCCTCCAGCTGAAAGACCTCAGATGCCTCCCTACTGCCTGTCAAACCGGCCCCAACTCTTCAGCTGGGTGTTGAAAACCATCCACAGCCAGCTTTCTCTGCCAGCCAACTTGGCCGCCTACCAGCCCCCAGCCACTCTGTGTGTGTGGTTCCCTGTACATGCTTATCCTCACTCCATGCCTCTGCTCCACAGCTCCACTCACTTGGAATATGCTCCCTCCACCTTCTCCTGATTCTTCTGTACATGGCATCCACTGAGATCCAGTCCACGCTCCTGGGCATCCCTGTGCAGGGCCCTGTCCAAGGTCCTGGAGATGAGCAGTCACAGGATGTAGTTCCTGACTCAGAGAGTTTTCACTGTCAAAAGCAGGTGGAAGAGGGTACAGATAACATTCTGATTAATTAGAAGCCTTTTGGCTTCAAGGAATAAGAACCCACTCAAAGTATCTCAAGCAAAAAGAAGAGCTTATTGGAAGGATATGAGATTTCTCAGAACACAAGGGCCAAGAGCCCCATTGGGGCTCCCAGGAATTATAAGTTAGAAAGCTGTCAGAAAGCAAAGCTGCCCTCTCTGCCTCTTGGGGCTGCATGGTCTCTTGGCATTCACTTCCTCCTCCCCTCCCTGAGCCAACTGCCTCTGCACATTCATTTTGCTCTTGGCCCATCTTGGCACTGACCCCAACTCCGTATCATGGTCTCTTGGCCCAGGGATCACCACCAATGGGCAACAGTCTTTATTCAGACACCATTCAGAGTCTCAAGAGAGAGAGAATTACTCTATTAGATTTACTCTATTTGGTCAGGGTCCTACCCTTGGCTCTCGGTGAGCCCGTGGGCCCTTGACTCGGGTGTCTACCCTTGGTTTAATCAGCTGTGGCTAGAGATGAAGGGCAGGGAGCGCGGGGTCAAATAGTACAAAGGGTTGTCAGAATCTGAATTTTAACAAGCCCCCTAGGTTGTTCGTGTGTTCATGAAAGTTTCAGGAGCCCTGCCATGGAAGAGCAGTTCTCTGAATGACTCTGATCCATCACCAGGGAGCCCGTCAGAAAAGTAAACTCTGAGTTCTTTCCCCAGGGCCTGGAGGGGGTCTGGGAAGGAGTTGGGTGCTTTACCCAGGTGCTCTAAGCAAGTTCCACCCCCTGCCCTCCATTTTCCACAGAGAAAATGCCCATCTTCTTTCCATGATGAAGAGCCCGTGTCTTGCTCTCTACCTGTCACCTGTGGAAATGGCCACACTGCTGCTCTATAAAATGTAACACGTTGGCTCTGTTTATGCTGGCCAGAGGCATGTCACCTCTCTCTGCAGCCCTCATTTTCTTATTCAGGCAGCAACAGGGCCAATGATTTCTGTTGTCCCGTCAAGGATCACAGGTTTTAGTACCCTGCTCGGTACCCACCTGTGTTAATGTCCTGTGGTTGCTGTAACAAACAGCACAAACTGGGCAGCTTAAAACAATGGAAGTTTATTATCTCACAGTCTGGAGGCCAGAGGTCTGGAATTCAGGTATCAGTATGGCCTTATTAGAAGCTTAGACACTTAAAAGCTGGACAAAGGCTCCCTCTGAAGGCTCTAGGGAGAATCCTTCCTTCCCTCTTCCAGCTTCTGGTGACTCCAGGCATTCCTTGGGGTTGTGGTCACCTAATTCCAGTCTCTGCCTCCATCCTCATGTGGCTTTCTCCTCTTCTCTGCGTGCCTCATAGCTCACTCTGCCTTCCTCTTACAAGTAAACTGGTCATTAGACTTAGGGACCACCTGGATCGCCCAGGATGATTTTAACTTGAGGTTCTTAACTAATTACCTCCACAAAGATCCCTTTTCCAAACAAGGTCACATTCACAGGTTCCAGGTAGACATATATTTTGGGGGGCCACCATTCAAAACACTACACCACCCGCCCTGCCAAATGTTTGGGACCAGACCAGGGACAAATGGTGTCCTGTCCCATCTCCATCTTTATCTAGAGTAACTACAAATGACAAGATTTCTGGTTAACCCCATATTCAAACCAGAGGGAAAAGAATATTTAAAAAAACAAGGCATAGCCTCTCTTCTCAAGGCACCAATGGTTGGGTGGGACCAGAATAGTCAAGAGGGAGGCTGCCTTTGCACCCTGCCTCTGGCAGTGCCCATCCCAGGCGCCATCTTCTGCCAATTTCTGGAGCTCCCACTGGAGGATGAGAGAGTACCCTGAGAGGAAGATGGAACATCCTGGGTGGCGTTCTGGAAATTGCAGGGCCCCCAGCACTCCCTCCCGCAGCTTCCGTTCTGTCGGTACAGGACATTTTATGGTTGCCAGGGTGGCAATTAAGGGGGGGACAATTGGCCAAATGGTGCATTCATAGCCAGCGTTCTGTGTAGTCTGTCTCAGGGCCAAGGAAAAAAAGACTTTCCAGAAAGTGAGCTGGCATCCAGAAAAGGCCCATCCCAGATGGCTGCTAATGTCATTAGCCCAATAATGATGAGTGGAATGAATGAGCTAGCCTGGCCCCACTGTGCTTCTCTGAGGAATGCTGATAAGAACATGATCTCCCAGCTGGGGACCACTAAGCCTGGACCAAGGAAGTAAAGAAGGGAGAGTCGGGAGAACTGAGGACAGAGCATTCATTGTGGAAATAGGGAATCAGGTCAGACTTGGGTTCTCTTCCCAGCTTGGCCACTAATTAGCTACGTGAGCTTGGAAGAATACAGAACCTCGACACATCATTAGAAAAAGACAAACAATCCAAGAGGGTAAAAATGGGCAAAGAATTTGAACAGGCATTTTTGGGGCACCTGTGTGGCTCTGTCGTTAAGCGTCTGCCTTCAGCTCAGGTCATGATCCCGGGGTCCTGGGATTGAGCCCTGCATCAGGCTCCCTGCTCAGCAGGGAGCCTGCTTCTCCTTCTCCCACTCCCTCTGCTTATGTTCCCTCTCTCACTGTCTCTCTCTCTGTCAAATAAATAAATAAAATCTTTAAAAAAAAAAAAGAAAAAAAAGAATTTGAACAGGCATTTTTACAGAACAAACACAGATGGCCAAAATACATATGAGAAGATGTTCAATCTCTCTAGTAATTAGAGAAGCAAAACTGAAAATGACCAGAGCACGAGTGGGAAAATCAGTGACATCTGAGTAAAGTCTGAAGTTTCGTTAATAGAACTCTACCAATGTTAATGTCTTCGTTTTGATCACTGTATTATGGTTATGTAGGATGCTAACGTTAGAAGCTGGACAAAGGCTCTCTGAGAACCCCATATTGTCACAACTCTTCTGTAAGCTTAAACTTTTTGCAATATAGAAAGGTAAACAAGAACTACTAGAATAACCATGACAGAAAACAATAAAGATGTCACTGTCGACCCAACAGAGTGACAAGAATGACAAAGATTAGACAGATCCATCGCCAGAGGGTAGTGCTGAGAAGCAGGCTGGGTCATGCACCTTTGGTGGGGGTGTGATTTGGTGCCACCTTTTTGGAGAGCGCTCTGGCAGTATGGATTACAATGTCATTGTGCATGCCCCTGGGCCCCGGAAAATCCACAGCTGGCATTTACCCTACCCAAATCTTCCTACTTGGATTCAAAGAGGCATGTCCAAGGGTGTTTGCCATAGTCTTATTTGTAATAACCAGGAGCCACCTAAATGCCCAAATGGAGGAAAGGCACCCATACAGGGAAGGTTAAATGATACAGTGCACCTAGCTGTGAAATACTATACATCGGGTAAAAAGGGTGTCATACATCCAATGAACAAAAATGAAAAGGCTTCCAAAACAAAACAAAAGTGTAATCTCATTGATGAAAAGGAAAAGTACAAAAAAAGCCATTCATTCCTAAATGTATGTATACAAATGTATACACCACTCCAAAAGTTGACAAAGATACCCTCCTGACTGGAGAGGGCAGTGGGACCTGGATTGGGGCAGGCAGAGTGGGTAGGGTGGTGCCAAAGGGAACTTTCGCTTTTTCTGTATTCTTTGCATTTTTAACAATAAGGTTTTCGTGTATTACTTGTGACTTTTTTTTATGGTAATTTTTTAAATAGGAGCTAACCTTCTCTGACCTGTATTTTCCTCATTTTTAGAATAAAGGAGTTAGTAATGCAATGTCATACATCAATTTTATCTTGATTTTTAAAAATTAAATCGAATAATTGCTTTGATTTAATAAAGGAGTTGGGTCAGGGCTCCTCTGTGGCTGCTTCCAAGTCCGCAAGTCTTTAACTGGAAGCTGAGGCTGTGGGGACACTGTCCCCTCCCCACCCTGCCCCCACCCCCCTTCTCTCTAGTCCTCACACTTTCTAGCCCGTACAAAGGCCTTTGCACTTGGGGAGCCCCCCAGCTGGTGTGCTCTGCCAGTCCCATGTCTTCATGTAGCTGGCTCTTTCTTGTCATTTAGAGCTTAACGTAATGGTCACCTCCTTGGGGAGGCCTCCCTCACCCCCCAAGGTAACAGTGGGGGAGGAGAGAAAGGCAGGGCCAGATCAGAGGCGCCTGGGAGACCAGGGGAAGGAGTGCGGACCTCAGCCTCAGGTGAGTGGGAAGTCGGAGGGACTTAATGCTGGGGGAGGGGTGGGTACGAGGGGAGGCGAGCGGGAGAGGTGATGTGAGGCTGGCCTCCACACCTCATCAAAGCCCAAGCTCAGTCTGACCCGAAGGTGGGCAGAACATAGGACATAAGGTAGAACCTGCTGTGAAGCAATTAGAGGTCATCTCAAGATAAACAGAACTGGAAGAGGAGGGAAGTGTCAGAGTGAATCTATTTCATGTGAGTTCCCTGTTAAAGTATGTTTAGACTCTGTAGTACAGTGTCCTGGGTAGTAGTGTCCCTCCTAAATTCACTTAAGACATAAGGTGTCCTGTTTTGACCTCTTTTCAGTTCCGATTCTCAAAAATGTCTCCAACACAAGGGTACGTCCTCCCTTTTTCTCTTTTTGCCTTTCTCCCTCTTTCCCTGACCACTGTTTTCCACCCATCTTCTTTCCCCCAAACTTCCTCTGATTTTGGAATTTTGGCCGTGTCTCCCCCCTCCTCCCCTTCTCTTTCTTTCCTCACTTACTGAGACCTGCCTGCCCTCCATAAATCCTCTTCCCAGTGGGATTTTGTTGCTGGGCCTGCCTGCTCTTCCCAAGTGGTCACTGGGCTGGACACGCCCTCCGTTGCTTTGGCTCCACGCAATTTCCAAGGCTGGCCTCCTCAGGCTGAGCACGCAGAAAAGCTGCCAGGACTCCCTCCCTCTTTCTTCTCTTCCACAAGCTCATGAGTTGCAAATGGTTACCTGCAACTCCCTTGGGTGGAGGTTGCAGGTTCAGCTGCGGGGAGGGCAGGGAAAGGTCCAGGCAGGGACCTAGACCCCATCATGCCTTTCCCCCTCTTCTTCCTGCTTCTCTCAGAGGCACTTTGTCCATGGGGCTAGAACTCTGAAAGGGGTGGAGAGGAAGGGAGGCTCTTCCCCCAGTTCTAACTAGAAAGAGTCCAGGGGTCAGCCCAGCTTGGATCACGTGCCCACTTGCACGACCAGAGAGATGGACACCGTAATAGGGGGCCCCATCAGAACCACAGGGTCCAAATGGACAAAAGGGATAGTTCTCCTAAAGGAAAGGACATCCATGTATTAAGGAAGGGGAAAGAGTCCTAGGCAGACAAAACAGGGGGGTGGCCTGACCTTCCAGCACATGGCCTGACCTTCCTGTCTATAAAGACTGGTTCCTCAGCAGGCAGGAAGATCTTGGGAGGACCTGGCGGGACCGCCAGTTGTTCGTGCTTGATCTCCTTGACCAGTTGCTGCTATCCCCAGCCTGTGCCCCGGCTACACTCTTGACTCCATCAGCCCTCAGCTCAAGGCTTTCGCTTCTAATGCATCCTGGATGCTGCCAAACCTGATTGTTCTCAACATCCAGCCTAGCTGGAAGAAAATTATTTTAGATTTTAAAATGTCAGATTTGGAAGGTCAATTGTCTCAGAAGATGCATCATTTGTATACAAAGGATGGGCCCATGCTCCTTGCCAGGATGCTGCTTTTCAAGGAATTAGATTTGTTTAGAGCTAAAAGACCCCTGGAGGTCTTCTACTCCAACCCCTTCATTTTACAAACGAGGAAACAAGTGCAGAGAAGTTGAGCATTTTGCCCAGTGATAGCAGCTAGTTAGGAGCACTGGGAACCAGGAATCCTAAAAATCCTAAAAAAAAAAAAAAGCCCTGAATCAACACTCAGGGTTTCTACCTGATGTCTGTGCATTATTTCAGAAGACAATTGTGGTAATGAAAATTACCCTGGACAGGTATGCCTCCCCCCTTTTTTGTTTAGGTTTAAAGTTTAAGCCATCGATTTTTTTTAACTAGATGAATATTGGACCTAAACTTTCTCTTTTGTATATTCATCGACACAATGTTTTATCTTTACATGCCTTTGATCTGCAGTGGGCAGTGAATCTTACCTTTACACTCTTCTACCTTTGGCCTCCCGCTCAGGCGTTCAGGGACCTGGAAGCAAACACTTCAGGACGCGGAGGGAATGAGGACAGAAGCATTCTTCATAAAAGAGTTGCTTCGATCATTGGTCTCTCTGGTTGATCTAGTTTGGGTCTTCCCATCTGTCTTCCTTAAAGAGGCATACTCCCCTGTACTTAATAATATGTAGTACAATCTTTCTTCTTTAGTCTGTTCATAATTTCAATTCCATATCCCAAACGGAAAGTTAGTGGCCCAACTTGCAAAAGAAAGCAATTATTGTGGATGAACAAGCAAAGCACATGGGCCCTGAGATGCTATTGTTGCAGACAAAAGCCCCTCTATGACTTTGTGAGAGTCAATCCCCCACATCACACAGCACAAAAAGGGCACTCACTGTGTTCACACTCTGTTTAACCCTCCAGAATTTGTAAACAACTGAAACGTAACACAAACAAGTTGTTTTTGTTTTGTTTTGTTTTAGCTTGCTGGTGTTTTTAACTCAATAAAATGTTTGTTAATTAACTTCACGAGCTTTTTTTTTTTTTTTTAACCCCAGATTATGTCTGCAATTGAATGGACTCCACTGGCTGGTTTGAATTGGATGGTTTCTTTGAACACAGGCTGATTTCTGTTTATGTGCCTTGCAACAGTCAGGATTGGCTAGACTGTGGTGCAGTAACAAACAATACCCAAGTATCAGTGGCTTGACAAAAGTTTGTTTTCTGCTCATGTTATATGGCCCATGAGGATCAGGAGGGAGCTTGGAGCTTATTACCAAACAAAAAGCCTGTCTTGATTTCCAGCCCTCCAGCCCTGTACACTGGCTTAGCTGAGAGGTCGTACCTCCAGTGGAGAAGGCACACACGGGCGACCCTGAGATGGGCTGCAGCTGGGCCCTGCACAGGGTGGGGACCAGATCCCTCATTGGATGACTGATTTGCAAGTGGCCTTGACTCTCCCAATACCAGTAGCCCTCCCTCCCCAGCAGTGACAGCGTCACATGTCCCTGAGGGCAGAATCTCCCCCAGTAGAGAACCCTGATCGCATACAATGTCCAAGTTCACAGACAATCCCATTTCGGTTGTGCTGCAGGGGAATCCTGAGCTGGGACTTATAAGACCCGACTTTAAATCCAGCTCTGCCTTTATATCATTTCCCTCTTGGGGCCTCAGTATCCCGATCTGTAAAATGAGAGGATCGAACAAGACAGTTCCTAAAGTGGGTTCAGAACTTCTAAGGGTCTAGGGCTCAGGTTCTGGAATTTTTCATTCTAACATAATTCCAATCATAGCCTCACCCTCTCCCGAAAACAAGGGAGTGAGGATTTCAGCTGCATAGCAGCACTGTCCAGATGACCCGAGGGGGTTGATGAGGGGAGCACAGAGGGTGGAAGGCCAGCAGCCAGTGGAGAAGGAGGAAGATGGGGAAAAGGCACCAGCAGTGGAGGTGCTGAATGCACCAAAAGACATTTCCCCGGCTGACCCTGTGCCTCCTCACTCAAAAGTCACCTGTGACTTAAGGCATAGAAGAGATGGACAGGGGCTGGTAAAGGATTTTTGGAGGAGAAGTTAAGAGGATAAATAGTAAACATTGCACACAGAGAAAAGAACAATGCCCCTGAAAGTGGGAGGTGTGTGTGTGTGTGTGTGTGTGTGTGTGTGCGCACACGCCTCTGCTGTATCCTTACCCATGGCAAAAGAAATTGGACAATTTCAATTCAGCTTGAATCTGCCTGTAAGCTTTTAAAAAAATCATGATCACAGGCTTATTGGATTTGCTGAGCCCTTATTGGCCTCTTGACTCGTTCAGCTGTAATGAAGACAAGGGTGGGAGGAGGAAAGGGAGAGATGCTCCCTGTTCCTCGCCCTCCGCACTTCCTCCTAGTCCATCTCAGAATCCAATAAAGTTTGACAATGAAACTTGAAAGGGAGTGAGCAGTATTTAATAAAAGGCTGTTCAGTCTGAACGATGATTCAGGACTTTTTGAAAGCTGGAAGAGACAGGCCAGATGACCTTTTCCACTCTAGATCCCCTACAAAGAGTGTATACATATCTTTTCTTTGGATTAGGTTTGTATTTGTTTGTTTGTTTGTTTGTTTTCCCAACAACATTAACACTTTTCTTGATTGCTAATAGACTGAGCTCCCAGGTTATCCTATATCCACAGTCAGCACCTATTTCTTGGAAATATTTCATCCAGTTGTTCTTTCATGCATTCTGTCTTCCAGCCCCTCACCAGCTGTTTCTGAAACACCTGCTATGTGTCAAGTACTGTGTTTTGGGCTGAGGGTACAGAAGTGACTAGAATACAGCCCTGGCCTCCCAGAGCTCCACGCTCAGATTGGCACAGGCATGTACACGAGCAAGCACACCCCAGTGTGGTAAGTGGGACACTGGGGCAACACCTGGCCCTAAAAAGGAGGCCTCAGGGGAGCTAAGTCTTGAAGGACAAATAAGAATTATTTGGGCAGAGATGAGAGAAAGATCCAGGCTTACAAAAGGCATAAACACGAGAGAAAGTGGGGTGATTCATTGAATCACAGAGAGTGTATTGTAATTGGACAGAAATGTTCAGACAGGAGATGGTCAGGCCGGCCCCGGCTGGCCACCCCATGTCCACAGTGGCCTTGGCCCCTGTTACCAAACTTTGGTTCCGTTATTCACGGTCCCGTTATTCACAGAAGCTACGTTCTATAGTCATCATGCACACTGAACTAGGGGATATTGAGCCACCGCCCCTAGGGGAAATACAGGCTAGGATTCCTACAACCTCCTCATCAACTGGATAATAGGTACCCTTGTTTTATGTGTCTTTCTGTTTTAAAACACCTTATTTAATGCATATCGTTGCCTCATTCATGTTGAGCTCATGGCCAACAGCACTGCCCCTCATACTGAATGATGCCTACCTAACGTACATATTTTCTCCATGAGGCTCATCCTAGCCTTCCTGTGCTTACAAACACTAGACAGCACTTCAGGACTATGTTTGGGGGCTATTTTCAACAGCAAAGTCACCAACAAGAATCACAGAAATGCAAAAAGCATGGCATTAAACAAACTATGAAAAGGATACTTGTTTACAGTGTGAGAGCTAAAACAAGAAGGCAGAACGTTGCCTTGTTTGACCTCAGCTGGGAACATGCCCAGTTGGACCAATCACATTTTTTGCCGCTCTGCATATGTCCGCGAAGGACCGCAAAAGCGCCGCACGTATTGATTTGGGGGTTGCAAACCCATTTCAGAGAGTAGGCAAATTGACAAATGTGGCATCATGAATAAGATGGATTGTCTGTATTTCAAAACCACACATACAAGCCTCTCAATTCTTGGAACTGCCGATGACCACTATAAGCAAACAGAATATTCTGATTCTCTTCATTTTGATTTTTCCTGTAATACAGGAAGAAGGTATGAGTGCATTTAGGGCTAACTATGCATTTAAGACTCATGATCTGAGAATTCATGTGAGGCCACATTACACTAAAGCAGTGTTTAGAACAGACCATCCTGTGTCGCTCCAGAAGGGCAGCCTGTCAGAGGATGACTTACAGTTCATTCTCCGATGCCAGGGAAACCAGACTACTTAACTAGCAGAATCATTCCTGACTGGAGCAAAGCAAAGAGCCTCAGAGCCCCAGGGGGCTTCTCTACTACGTCAGCTGTCAGCAAAGTATTCATATGCGGAGGAGCATCAGGAAATCACAGCCTGCAAGTTGCTGGCAGAAATGTGACAAGCTCTGCCCAGCAATGTGTTTCAAGAATAGTCTGGGCAGCCTGGTACTTCAGAATTCTCTGGAACAGGGTGATAAATAAATTCCCAGGGACGCTTCCAGGACAATTATTTATTTGAAATGCTAGACACGGGACTAATTGGTTTTATTTACTATTTTAAAATACAGGGCACCTGGGTGGCTCAGTCAGTTAAGCATCTGCCTTTGGCTCAGGTCATGATCCAAGGGTCCTGGGATCGAGCCCCAATTGGGCTCCCCGCTCAGCAGGGAGCCTGCTTCTCCCTCTCCCTCTGCTCCTTCCCCTGCTTGTGTTCTCTCTCTCTGTCAAATAGATAGATGATAGATAGATAGATAGATAATAGATAGATAGATAAAATATAGGTAGTCTCTTGTACAGGAAACAAAAAATTGTAGAAACAGTTCCCTCAGCCTAATCTCCTAGCTGACGCACTGACTCCATCAGGGGATTCTCTTTATCACTGAAGAGTGTACTTCATTACTTAGAATTTGATCTTTAAAGAATATATGCTTTATTATGCCTTAAAGAATAAACTGCCTAGGTGATATGTAATGCCAATTTTTTTTGGCATTTCCCCAATTTTTTAAATGTAATTTTGTAGATGATGGATTTTATTTTTTCGAGTAGTCTTAAGTTCACGGCAAAACTTGAGTAGAAAGTACAATTTCCATTTACTCCCGGCCCCCACACATAGCCCTGCCCACTACCAACATTAGCATCGGAGTGGTACCTTTGTTACAATCCATGAACCTACATTGATACATCATTACCACCCAAGCCCCAGTTTACATTAGGGCTCACTCTTGGCGTCGTCCATTCTATGGGTTTGGACAAATACGCAATGACAGGTATCTACCATTATAATATCATATCTTCCCCACCAGGCCCTGACAACCACTGACCTTTTTACTGCCTCTATAGTTTGGGTATTTTGCAGAATGTCATAGTTGGAATCAGACAGTATGTAGCCTTTTCAGATTGGCTAACCCTGAATGTCAGTTAATAAGACACTTGCAAATCACCACACTGTAAGCAGCTTGAGGTCTTGGTCATAGGTGTCTTCCCAGCACAGAGGAAGCACTTAAATGTTTGTTGAAAGCATGAATGGATGGGTCTCAGATTTAAAAAAAAGAAAAAGAAAAAAAGCAGATTCTCCAACTTAGAAAAAAAAAAACAACACTAATAACAGTCAGTGTTAGTACTTACAACTTAGTATTACCTGGGAAAAGAAATGATGATGATATTCACTCTGAATAAAGAACAGCTTGTAAAAAATAAGGTACAAATGCCAGACTGTCTCTCTTTCCCTCTCTCTCTCTCTCCCCCCATGGGTGATAGATGGATAGATATATAGATAGATAGATAGATAGATAGATAGATAGATAGATAGATAGATAGATAATAGATAGATAGATAATGAGATTTGATTCAGATCTTAAAATTCTGACTACATCCTCTATAGAGTGGGATCTTCCATCTGATGTCATGGTTTAAGTGAAAGGAATTTCTGCTCAGCTTTTTCAAGTTTTGTGTTTGGGCT